TTTTCTAATCTGTGGAAAAGAGCTCCATCACGAACTCCTGTTCATGTCCCATGTATGAGCCGTATATTAGAGTGTACAAAGTAGCCAGTGGTAATTTCAGCACTTGGGAGGCTGAGGAAGGATTTTGAGTTAAGGCCAGCCGGGGTTACATTGTGTGTGTGTGTGTGTGTGTGTGTGTGTGTGTGTGTGTGTGTGTGTGTGTGTGTGGCGGCGGTCTATTAAAAAAAAATTCTGCCGGGCGGTGGTGGCGCACGCCTTTAATCCCAGCACTCGGGAGGCAGAGGCAGGCGGATCTCTGTAAGTTCGAGGCCAGCCTGGTCTACACAGTGAGTTCCATGAAAGGTACAAAGCTACACAGAGAAACCCTGTCTCGGAAGAAAAAAAAAAATCTGCTCTAACACCAGTCTTTCCCAGGCTTCAGAACAAATTTGCAGGATGGATCCCCTAAAAACAACACCTCTCACTTCTTAGACAGCAGCCCCACCCTCCACTGGCCCAAGTCCAGACACCTTTACCTATCATTACCCTTGTAGAAATGGCACGTTCGGCCTGCCGGTCCTGCCTCTGTGGTGCTGGGTGACGGCTGTGCATCACCACGTCCATGTGCATCACCACGTCCAGTTTTTTCTGGTTCATCAAACTATGCAAGCACTCTACCCACTGAGCATCCAGCCCCCCCACCCCACCCCCCACTAAAATACCAACCAGTTCTCTTTTCCAGAGTTGTGCTCTCTCCAAAAAAAGAAAACCATTTTTGTTTGTATGACTCCAAACACTGGTAAAATTATTTAGCAAAACAAGGTCAAAGGAATATGTGTTAGATGTATGCCCAAGGTGTTTTTTTTTTTTTGTTACACCATCCATTTCTGAAAAGAGACCCTGAAGCAAAGCGAGCCTGGGCGCGAGGCCTTTCCTGTACCTACGCACTATCCATACTTTTAAAGTCTTGTCAGTGTAAACCGTTGATCAAAACTAAAATGTCCAGTTCTTAGATCCGCAGCTGGAGCTCAGGTGATAGCGCGGGGGCGCAGGTGACGCCGCGAGGAGGGGGCGGTTGCTAGGCAACCAGAGACGCAAACAAGAGGCGTTCCCAGACTATCGCACCGAGGACCAGCAGGAAGAGGAGGTGAGGGGATTGGGGCGGCGGGAGCATCCTGTGACCGCCCTTCTAACCCAGACCTCTGGCCGGTGTATTGATTGAAACCCCAAAGGCGGAGCCTGTCCTGGGGAAGGGTCCTGCTGGGACCTAGACTCTGACCTCAGCTCCTCCTACCCGGCGGCCAGCCTGCTCCTCCTCTGTACCAGGGCGGGGCAAAGGACCCAGCGCCCTCCCTACCCAGGTAGCTGGTTCCAGTCTGGGTTCGCCAGGCCAGTCATACCACCCTGGAAAGGCAACAATGCTTCTTCTCCCAGATCCCCCGTGGGTGTGGCCCACAGCCTGGGAAAGAGTGGTTGTTGGAAGTAGGGGTGGAGACAGGATTAAGGGGTGTGTTTCCTGCCATCCCTTTACTAGGCATTTGGTGCCTCCTAAACACACACACACACACACACACACACACACACACACACACACACACACACACACACACACACACACACACGGGCTCTCTTCTTTCCTTTCCACGCCCCTGGATCTGCACGCTCCAGGGCTGCTTTGTGCCTGAAGATGGACCACTGAGGGAATATAGCTGATTGCTAATACCTCACAGGAAGTTGAGCTGGGGGCTGAATTGGAACGCTTCCCAGCAGACTCTGGCTGCAGGAAAGGGCTTAGAGCCAAGAGGACAGGATCTGGGTCCAGAAAAGCACTTTGCTTTTCTTCTGCAGGTGGTGGTCTGGAACAGGCCTAAGGGTTTCAGACCCTTGGCTCCTAGCCATGGCTACACTCAGTACCAAGCCCAGCCAGCACTACCAGCTCTCGGATTGGCGCACCAACAGCTACCTGTTGTCCACCAATGCGGAGAGGCAGCGGGATGCTTCCCACCAGATCCGCCAGGAGGCCCGGATCCTTCGCAATGAGACCAACAACCAGGTTTGGGGGGGAGGTGGTCACTCAGCCCCATTGGCCATGGGAGGTCCCTCAACCACAGACACCCATCTTATTGGGTTCCGTCTCTTCCAGACGGTATGGGATGAACATGACACTAAGGTTCGCCTGGCAGAGAGGATCTGTACTGTCAACCGGTGGAAGGAGATGCTCGACAAGTGTCTGACAGATTTAGATGCTGAGATCGACACCTTGACACAGGCAAGGAGCTGAGCCGGGTACCAGCAGGTTCTGATGCAAAGGCCCTTCCACCCCACTTTCAGATCTGGGAAGCCACACTCCCCTCTGCCGAGGTCGGGATAGGAGCGGTCTCGAAGTGCATCAGCCCACCCATCCCTGTGCCCGTCCTTTCTAGATGAAAGAGTCTGCAGAGCAAAACCTGCAGGCCAAGAACCTGCCCCTGGACGTGGCCATCGAGTGCCTGACCCTGCGGGAGAGCCGGCGAGACATTGATGTCGTGAAGGACCCTGTGGAGGAAGAGCTGCTTAAAGAGGTGGAAGTCATTGAGGCCACCAAGAAGACCCTGCAGCAGAGGATCGACCAGACCTTCCAGCAGCTCTGGTGAGGCGGAGAGGGGCCTGAGCACACTCACATGCATTCGAGGCATGGGGGGGGAGGGGGGGACAATCGGTTGGATGATGCTTTGTGTCCCTCCGGGCCTTCGGGTGGAAGGCACTGGCTGTTTCCAGCAGCTTTCCACTGCCTCCTCCTTGTTAGGATCCCGTTCTAGGTAGCCATTGTTCCCTGGTTGAAAGCACCCGCCGCTGCCCTCAGCACCATATTGTAAGTGTGTGTGCACGCATTCGAAGCCACGTACCCATGCTTTGTGTCTGTGGGACACTCGTGAGGTTGTGCGGCTCTTTGTCTCGGATTCAGCGGCACCTGCATTGTTACACACACACACACACACACACACACACACACACACACACACACACACACCCCACAGCCCCTCAGTATCCTCACAGTCCCGTCAGGGCTGCATCCCAGAAACCCACCCACTGGCTCCAATGCAGTCTTCGTCCCCAGTCTCCTGCAGGAAATCCGGCAGCAGCTCAGCTCTGACCACCGAGACAAAATGGAGACGCTGGACATCGACAGGGGCTGCCTCTCTCTCAACCTCACTTCTCCAAACATCTCTCTGAAGGTTAACCCCACACGCGTGCCCAAAGAGTAAGAAGCGGATTGCAGTCGGCCCTTCCTCCCCCGCTTGGAGGCCACACCCCGGAACCCCGCTGTTTTCCTTGCCCCCACAGCTCCACCACACTCCAGCAGTGGGATGAGTTCAGTAGGTTCAACAAGGACCGAGCCGACGCAGAAATGAAAGCCGCCATAGAGTTGAGGGAAGCCATTGCCCTAACCATTGCTCAGGTGACTCAGCCCAACTCACCCTGATCCTTCCTTCCACACTGACCACGTCTTAGCTTTTCCCCTGACTTGACACCCCCCACCCCTTGCGCTCTTCCCTTGCAGACCAACAATGAACTTGAAGCTCAGAGGGTTACCACAGAATTTGCCTTCAGGAAGCGCCTTCGGGAGATGGAGGGTGTGTACAGTGAGCTCAAGTGGCAGGAGAAAAATGTGAGTCTCTCCCCGCCCCTCCCCCTGCTGTGAGGCAAGGCCCAGGTGCCCTGCCTGCTCTGAAGCTCAGAGTTGGGGCCCCGAGTGTGTGTGTGTGTGTGTGTGTGTGTGTGTGTGTGTGTGTGTGTGTGTCCTGCTGGTTGGTGGAGAACAGTATGTCTGCCACAGACCTTGGAGGAGATAGCCGAGCTGCAGGAAGACATTCGGCACCTGGAAGACGACCTGCGCAGGAAGATAATGAACTTGAAGCTTGCACATACCCGGCTGGAGTCCAGAACCTACCGGCCCAATGTGGAGCTCTGTGAGGACCAGGTACGAGGTCCCAGTGGGGACCCCCACTACTGAGGAGTCCTCAGTATTCTCCCTGCACAGGTTCCTGGTGGAGCCAGCCTTCTGGCCCTGGGCAGTGTGGCTGGACCGCAAGTCCCATCCTGCCCCTCTGCCTCCAGACACAGGGTGGCCTCAAAGACGAAGTGCACAAGTTGGAGGCAACCATCACTATCTTGAAGCAGAAGCTGGCCCAGACGCAGTAGGTTTAGAGACAGGGCAGGAAGGGTGGGGACAGGGTCCAACCATGGGACCTTACTGCCTGCTGGTCCCTCTGGGCTTTAAGCTGGTGAAATGATCTGGCCCTCTCGATGCCTCCTCTACAGGGACGCTCTGGACGCCTTGTGCAAGCACCTGGCCCGGCTGCAGGCTGACATTGCGTGCAAGGCCAACTCCATGCTGTTGGACACCAAGTGTATGGACGCCCGGCGCAAGCTGAAGGTGCCGGCTGAGAAATTCGTGCCCCAGGTGGACACCTTCAAGCGCACGACAAACCGTACACTGAGTCCATTCAAAACCTGCCAGCTGGAGCTAACCTAGCCTTGGTGGCTGAGGGAGGAGGGAAGGTTGGGTGGGAAGTGAGGAGGGGGCAGTGAACTTTAAATAAAGATGGAGTTCTCAGGCCAGGCTCTTCTCTGCTACCCACCAGGGTGGCTGGCAGAGTGAGACGCTCCGCTTGGGGGACAGAGTGGCCTAGGCTTCGTAGGGGTCAAGAGTCCAAAGCGACAACGTTGGAGTAGGCAACCTTCTCGTTCAGGGTCTTTTGAAAAGGTCCCCACCCCACCCCACCCCACCCCCGACACTTTAGGGGGCTGTCGGCCCGACTCGTGGCGCAGTGTACAAATGGGATGGTAGGGGGCGCCAGAGGGAAGCGGGCGGGAACCGCGGAGCGCTGCGGCGCCGAGCCGCTGGGTGGCGCCGTAGGGTGGGGAACGCCATGCTGAGACTCCGGGCCACAAGGGGGCGCTGTGGGGAATAGCGGGGGGAGGGATGACCGCGGAGGCGGCAGCTTCGGCGCCGGAAGTGGCGACCAGCCCGCGCGCGGATGGCGGCGGCGGCGGCGGCGGCGGCGGCAGCGATGACGACGGCGGCGGCGGCGGGCGGCGGCGGGGCCGGTGCGGCCCGCTCTCTCTCGCGCTTCCGAGGCTGCCTGGCGGGCGCGCTGCTGGGGGACTGCGTGGGCGCCGTCTACGAGGCCCACGATACCGTCAGCCTGACGTCAGTCCTGCGTCACGTCCAGAGCCTGGAGCCAGACCCGGGCACGCCGGGCAGCGCGCGGACAGGTGGGCGGGGCGCCGCCCGCCGGGTCCCCACACCTGGGCCAGGGGGACGAGGCCGCCGAGGCCGAGGGTCCCGCGGCGGCCAAGTCCCGAGTGTCAAGGCCCCTGTGACCCGATCGGTTTTCCCCAGCTCTCCCGGTAGTAGGTCTCCCGCCGTGTCCCCGGTCAGAGCGCAGGCCTCGCCTACAACCTTGGCCAGAGCCGGAGCCCACTCGTCCGGGTCGGGCGTGGCCCGCTTTCTCAAGCTGCTGGCCCGATGTGGGCATCGGCGGGCACTGTCCCCAGCCTGTGGAGATATGTCCCTTCCCTTGGCTTGCGTAGGCAGCTTGTCCTCCGGGTCGGGGTCCGGATGTCAGCAGAGGGCTCGGTTCTTCTTGGAGAGCATGTAGAGCAGTAAAAGGGGGCCATCGTCAGGTCCCCGGAGGACACCCTGAAGTAAGAGGCGTTTAGAGGTGGGGGAAGGACAGGTCTGCTCCGAGAGGCAGGAAGAGTGTAACAGGACCGAGGAAGAATTTCAAGACGGAGGGCACTGGTGTGCTACGAAAAAAGTCGGGGTCGTCTTGACCCAGAAAGCCCTGTCGAGTGGGTTGAGGAAAACACGGGGAAGCGGACGTTAAAGGAAGCAGAGATGTGGCAGAGACAGCTATTTTTGTTTCATTATGGTTTGGTAAGATGAAAAGAGGGGGCATGCTTTAGGTTGAGTGGTAGCTGGGACCCTGTGGCTGCAGAACACCAGGTTTAGGAAGTGAAAAGAGCTGGCAAAACTGAGGAGTCACGAGGAAGTTCTGGCCTCAGGCAGTGCAAAGTCCAGGAGCTCAGCCCATCTCCTAAGGCCTGCCTCGTTCCTCTCTGCCCTGAGATTGCCTTTTGGGGATGGCACCTTGACAGCCCTTTACCCCCCACATGGCCCCAGCCGCCCTGCAGTAGACGCTCTCCTTTTGCTACAGTCCCTACAAAAGTTGCAACTTGAGTCTGGGGCCTGGCCCTAAATAAGGAAGTGGTAATAAGAGATGAATGGCTGATAGTTACTGTCTGATTAGGCAGGAGGCCAGTCACAGGCTGGGACTGAAGAAGGTGGCTCCCTCAGGAAGATCAGGGCACAGTGAGCAAATGGAGGGAGAACAGACGCTGTTCCCCTCACCCACGGGGGTGTGACTGAGGATAGACTAGGGCAAAGAGCAACCCCTCACCTCAGTGGACTGGGGTGGCCTTTACCTTCGACCAGGCCGGGGGAGACTGGGAATTCAGTTACCACTATGAAGCTAGGATGTAGGGGCCACCAGAGAAGAAGAAGGAAAATGGAGTTGGGGCTACATGGAAGGGGTAGACAGCTATTTGCGGAATCAGGAAGGCACCCATTAGGAGAGTCTGTTCTCTGTAGCTGTCCTCTCTCAAGTGAGGCCAAGTCATTGTCCCTAGCAGGGTAGTAGCCTCTTTGCGTATGGCATGTTAGAAGTATCAGAACATAGCTCAGTATGGTGTCATACACCTGTGATCCATCCCAGTACTGCCGAGGACGAGGCAGGAAGATGACGGCCACTTTGAAGCCTCCTCTATACAGTTCTAGGCCAGACAGAACTACACAGTGAGACCCTGCCTCAAACACAAAACAGAGGGGCTGCAGAGATGGTTCAGCAGTTAAGAGCACTGGCTGCTCTTCCAGAGGACTCAGGTTCGATTCCCAGCACCCACATGGTGGCTCACAACCACCATCTGTAAGTCCAGGCTCAAGGGCTCTGACACCCTCTTCTGGCCTCCCTGGGCACCAGGCACACATGTGGTGTACAGACATACATGAAGGCAAAAATACCCATACAAATAAACATTTTTTTAAAGGAGGGGGGATTCCAGAATACCTGCAGCTAGGGGGAAAGGAGATGAGGTGGGTGGAGATGGGGAGAAGCCCTAGCTGGAAGGACTTGACCCAAGTGCACGGATTGGTCCTGAGCTTGTGCAAGGGAATCCGTGAGATGGACGATGGCAAGGAAGGAGGGGACCTCGCTGGGAAGGTTTGGATACCAAGCCCATGAACTGAGACCTCTTCCTGAAGGCAACAGACAGCTTTTTTGATCAGGAGACTGGAAGGAAGAGGGTAACATCTCACTGAAGAATTCGTGGCAGTGCTTAAAGCCTGCCCTTGAGGTGGGGAGCAGTATAGCCCAGGCAGGCCATATTGAGATGACCAGTAATGAAGGGAGAAGGGAGTGGAAGGTTTCCCTTCAGAAAGCAGCAGGTGTCATGACTGTTATGGAGCAGACAGTTGCTGAAGATCCCAAGGCTGAAATCTGAAGAATGCCTAGCTTGCAGGAGGATCAGCTGTGGGACCACCAAGAGAAATAAGTGGGCATTCTACCAGAGCCCTGGGGGTTGCTCTGACCCCACCACCCTCTTCCCTGCAGAAACATTGTACTACACAGATGATACTGCCATGGCCAGGGCCCTCGTGCAGTCCCTGCTGGCCAAGGAGGCCTTCGACGAGGTGGACATGGCTCACAGGTGAGGATGTAATCCTGGCATGAGGCCAGGCAGGCAGTGGAGCTGCACCCCTCAAGAGGGGAACAATATCTGTGCATACTCAGCACCCTTCCCTCAGCAGGACCCTTTCCCAAGTCTGACACCAGCACCCCGAGCTAACAATGACAACACTGTTGGTACAGGCCCTAGGCCCCCAGCGCCTCCCCGTTCAACCCAGCCCGGCCTTTTCTTCTAACCACGAGAGACATCTCAGGAACTCTCACTCTGCCTTCTTTCTCTTCACCAGGTTTGCCCAGGAGTACAAGAAGGACCCTGACAGAGGGTATGGGGCTGGAGTCATCACTGTCTTCAAGAAGCTCCTGAGCCCCAAGTGCCGTGACGTCTATGAGCCTGCCCGGGCCCAGTTCAATGGAAAGGGCTCCTATGGCAATGGCGGTGCCATGCGGGTGGCAGGCATCCCACTGGCCTATAGCAGTGTCCAAGATGTACAGAAGGTACTGGGCAGGCTGGTCAGACGCCCCTTCCCCAGCTGATCTCTAGAGACGTGTGACAGTGGTTCCTCCTCTCCATAGTTTGCCCGGCTCTCAGCCCAGCTGACCCATGCCTCCTCCCTGGGTTACAACGGTGCCATCCTGCAGGCTCTGGCTGTGCACCTTGCTCTGCAGGGTGTGTCTTCCAGTGAGCACTTCCTCAAGCAGCTTCTGGGCCACATGGAGGAGCTGGAAGGTGATGCCCAGTCGGTCCTGGATGCCAAGGAGTGAGTATGGGCTGCAGCTAAGACTGATTCAAGTCAAAGTGTGTGTAGGGCAGGGGTAGGGTGTCTGGCGTTGCTGCAAAGCCAGATCTTCCTGTCTTCACCGGGAACTGAACGGAGTGGTTGGAACAGGCCCCTTTGCCTCAGTGGATTCATGGCCCTCAATGTCCCAGAGAACAAACGTCTCTGCCTCTCTCCCAGCACTGTTAAGGCATGTTCACCTAGATGGGACCTGATGTCCCCAATTCCTCCTGAGTCTCTTCCCCTTCCTATGTCTCTGCTCACTCTGACCTCTGAATCGCTTCCCAAACCCAGGTTGGGTATGGAGGAGCGTCCATACTCCAGCAGGTTGAAGAAGGTTGGAGAGCTACTGGACCAGAACGTGGTGAGCCGAGATGAAGTGGTGTCTGAGCTAGGTGAGTGGACCCGACTACTATGTACCCTGGCTGACTTCAGAGAGGGCTGCTTGAATAGCTAGAGCCCCTCTGTAGAGCCTCTGGCGGGGCTATGAGCATGGTGCCTGCAGCCTTAAGGATCAGTGTCCCCAGAAGCGGCAGCTGGTTGGCCAATCTGTCCGCCAGTGTGATCAGTGTGATCATGGATGTTAATTTACCTGGTGCCTGTGCCCTGGGCTCTGTGAGGAGTACTTCACAGTGACCCACCTCTCAACAGCCCTGGGAGAGCGCAAGAACAGGGCTAAATGGAACCTCGCCTGGCCACCAGTAGGCGTGGTGGGTCCCCCATAGTCTGGCTGTGAGCCTGAGATCTCAGGCATGGCCCTGCACAAAGCTGGGAGTGCTGGCTCTTGGCAGACGGCAGGAAGCCTGTGGCAGGGAGGCAGGTCACCTTCCTGTACTCCGGCTTTCCCACAGGGAATGGCATTGCCGCCTTTGAATCTGTGCCCACCGCCATCTACTGCTTCCTGCGCTGCATGGAGCCTGATCCTGAGATCCCCTCCACCTTCAACAGCCTCCAGAGGACTCTGATCTACTCCATCTCACTTGGTGGAGACACAGACACCATAGCCACCATGGCTGGGGCCATTGCTGGAGCTTACTATGGGATGGAGCAGGTGCCAGAGAGCTGGCAGCAAAGCTGTGAAGGTTATGAGGAGACAGACGTCCTGGCCCAGAACCTGCATCGGATCTTCCAAGAGAATCTGTGAAGGCCCCAGCTCCAGCGGCCTTGTCAGGCCCATCAGGACCAAGGACAACTCAGATTGCAACCAGAATCCCCTTAAGCTGGCTCTCCTGCCCCAGCATTCCTGAAGGGCAGGCTGAGGGCACCCTTGGGGCTGGAGTCTTAGGACGGTCTGTGGAACGGTGAAGAACTGGTGCCTTCGTGGTACTGCAGGGCTGTTGACACCCCAGGGTCCTCGGAAATCTGAGGGGTCAGGGCAGTTTTATTTTGGAGGAGTATTTGTGTAGCATACTTTTCCATCTGAGACATGGGACTTCAGAAGGTGGAAATGACCTGTGGGCATATCATACCTCCCTGTTGGGTTTTAACCAATGTGACAGGCAGCTGCTTGTTGGACTGGACAGAGCCCACAGGTTGTGTGGCTCTTGAGACTGGCATCTGCATCCAGCCCATTCATTGCCAACCTGGCCTGGCGCCTCTCTGGAATGGGGCTCCTTGACAGCTTCTGGTGGAAGTCACAGCAATAAACCGTTTTTTGTAAATCCCAGCATATCCCATTTCTGTTTCCACTGGAGGATTCTCTTAAGTAGTGACTCCCTGCCTGGAACAGGGACCCTGTAGAGTGGTACAAAGTACCACCTTTGACGGTAGTAGGGTGTCACCCCAGGTATCCCAGCGGACTGTGTTGTATGCCTTCTGTATCTCAGGGTCCAGGCTGAAGGCCTTGGCTTGCAAGGAAGGATTGTACAGCATCTGTTATAAAGGACAGTTGAAGGTGGGGGTGGGGGTGCATACCTTTAATCCCAGCACTTGGGAGGCAGAGGCAGGCAGATCTTTGTGAGTTCGAGGCCAGCCTGGTCTATGTAGTGAGTTCTAGGACAGCCAGTATAAGACCCTGTCTCAGAAAAAAAAAGGACAGTTAAAAAGACATCTTCCCACAAACCATGAGTATGATCTCTGAGCATCCTTCCAGGTTCAGCGAAGGGACAAGCATGTGCAGTGAGCTCAGTGGCTGGCCCGAGGCTTCAGGAACATCAGGCAGTTGGCTTCCAGCCAAGATGAGGTTCTATCAGCGTAGGCAGATAACAGGGCATGGCTTTCATCAGGTCTGCTGTCTCAGATCCCCTGAGCCAAGGATACAAGCATGCTTGCTATGGCAAGTTATGAACAGGTGCTTTCTGCGCAGGTCAGCCACCCCTACCCTGTCCTCAGCATTGAGCCCCGTCCTCAGGACCAGAGATTCACAGTTTCATTCATAATTTGTATCAGATGTTGTAACATGGCCCTTGGGATCCTGAGCCAATTGTCACGCTCCACTGCTCCTGAGAGCTTGGAGGAATGTTCCAGTGAAGTTCAATCAGTCTCCAGCCACTGCCCTTCTCTGGTTTCATAGAATGCCTCCAAGTTTGCCCAGTGGTGCTGAGGCAGCCAGGGAGCAGGGAGTGATTCTGAAGGGCCTCAGGAGCCTGAGTGGGAAACTGTAAGGTAAGTGCACTCCTCACGAGGCCAGAGAAGCACCTGGATCCCCGTGAAACGTCTCTGTATTGAGGCCAGAGTCACAGCAATGTTTCTACAACAGGTTTTATTGGGGGTGGTCAATACAGTCAATACTAGAGTTTTCTTTTCAAAAAGAAATCCCATTTTCCTGATTCTCCAATGCATTTTCCCTGAACCTGACATGGGGCACATGATAAATAGAAACTTCCTACACCAGGTTAGAAATAAAATCACAAATGAAAAAACCTTAATCTTAAAAAAAAAAAACAAAACAAAACCAAAAAAGCCAGAATACAAAAATGCACAAGGTAAGTATAGTTGTCATAGTTAAAACTGACAATGTTTGTCAAAGCTGGTCAGTGACATCCACAAACATTTCAGAATCGCCCATCCTTCCCGAAAGGCTTGGTGGGAGTCTGGCAGCTCTGCTTGACACAGCTTTTGGGGCTCCCTGGTTTTCTGCTCAGTTCCCAGGGCTCCCTCTGAGAGCTGGTTAATTGCTGCCCATCAGAACTCATCTCTAACATCAATTAGTGGCTTTGACCCAGGGAAGGAGGAGGTTGAATGAAAGGCCCAGCAGGGATGCTCTGAAACGCTAGCTGCTTCTCTTGGGAGTAGCAGAAATGTACACTGAGCCCTGGGCAGAACTTTTTCTTGCTGTCACAGGCAGGCTCCCCCTTTGGGAGCTGAAGTAAGCAGTTAACTAGGCTGCTTTGCAGGGGAGGAAGCTGGGCCTTCATCCTCAGCCCATCAGCACGGGCGGTTGAATGGGCCCAAACTGGAGCACGAGGTGGGTTCCTGTCGCATGTCCCAGATTCACACTTGGTACAGGGACGTGGGCTGACTAGGTGAGAACGAAGGAAGGTCATGGACCACAGAGAAAGCAGCCATCCTTCCATGGGCAAGAATATCCACCATCCCTGCCCCCAGCACTGATCCCAGCCCGAATTGGGGGCCAGGGGGCTGGGAAGCAAGCCCGCCTGTTTCCTTGCAGGAGCATTCTGCTTAGGGAGGGTGGTGGAAGCCTCCAGAGCCAGCTCATTCCAGTGGGGTCTGCTGGCATCCTTTCCTTCAGAGCCTCAGCCTCCTGGGCCCTACCCTGCTTAGAACAGGAAATTGGAAGCAGAGGGCAGAGAGAGAGGAAGTGCCCACAGATGAGCCCCTCCAGTAGACACTAAATATCCACAGCGTGGTTCTTATTAAGGGGAAAGAGAAGTCTTCACCCACAAGCTTGTGTGCCTCTGTGCAGAGGGCCCAGAGACACTTAGCTTGGGGTTGGCAAGGGTCCCCTAGCAGTCTGATAGAAACTTAGCCCACCCCCAGCAGGTGAGAGGGAAGAGGGAGGGGCATTCATGTTTGGCGATCATCAGTCCTGGTTGGCTCTGCAATCTGTAGAGACACTACACAGAGTTCTGTCTCAGCCCAGGGTTGTCCACTCTATGCTGAAGAGCCAGAGCCAATTAGAGGAACTACCAGACTGCCTCAGATCCATGCCTCGGTCCCCTCACAGATCCCCACAGACGGCCACTTCTGGAGTCTTTCAGGGGCCAGTAGCAAAGGCCACACAACTGTCCCCACTGGGACTGGTCTGAGACCACAGCATCATTTTGGGGATGTCTATCCACACTGACTGCCTCCATGGTCTCCCTTCCCTTCTTCCTTTCCCCACAAAGGAAACAAAACCCCCAGGGAACCTAATGTCACATGCTGAAGGCCCCTGGGGAGCTGGAAGAGGCCCAGCAAACACAGGAATCGCCCCTGGCCCATTCCATGCCATCTAAGGCCAACAGGAAAACCATCTCTCCCAGCAGCTTCCAGGACTCATGAGGGGGCCCGGGCTGAGCGCTCTGGGGTGCTGCCTGCAGACCAGGCAGATCCAGAACAGGGTACAACCCCCATAGTGCACCTGGGGGAAAGGAAATGAGGCCAACCTCTTCCAAAACAACTTCGGCCTACACACGGGGAAAACAGGTCAGTCTCCTCGGGCCAAGGCCGCCGCCGCCTCTGTTCAGTTTTTGGTTGTTCCCTTCAAATGGAGATCTCTGTAACTGGAAAGGTCTCTCTATCACTAAGAGGAGGAGGCCAGGGCAGCAGGGCCCCCCACGGGTTATGTGGGACAGAGCAGGAATCCTGAGAAGGAAGAGTGGATGTACTCAGTGGAGTAGAGCCCGTTGGCCTGGTCTGAGGGCATCTGCACCCACACCTGGTCATTGGGCCGCAGCTGGAGCACAGCCCCTCCAGACGCCTGGTCCAAATAGCCCTTCTTGTACTCATCATAGGTGTAGGTGGCTGGCACATTGTTCTTGTACAGGGCTACCCACACATTGGTGCCCTTGACATGCACATGGTAAGCAAAGTAGTAGACGCCTCCCACAGGGCAGGTGAAGATACCAGTAGCTGGGTTGTAGCCGCTGTGACCATTGTAGAGAGTTCGGTCAAACCTAACTGGCATGCCTGAGGCAGGGAAGGGAGAGGTGAGCACCGCGGTGAAGGCTGGGGTGGCGTGTGCTGACAGCTCCCCCAGCCCCAACTGTGGCTTCCCTCCCTTGCCCAGCACAGCCCCCTCCACCCCACCATTGGGCAGGTGCAAGCCCGCAATGCCGGTCTCGTCAAAGGCCCCAGGGGCACCAGGAGGGCCGGGAGGCCCAGGGGGCCCAGGAGGACCTGTGAGTCCTGGGGAGCCAGGGACTCCAGGGGGTCCTGTGGGCCCAGCAGAGCCAGGCTCTCCCACTTTTCCCTCTCCCGGGGGCCCGGGAAGGCCTGGTTCACCCTTCAGGCCTGGCAGACCCTGGGGCCCAATAGGGCCAGCTGGGCCCTGGAGTCCTGGGATTCCAGAGGGGCCCCTTAAGCCAGGCTGCCCAGGAAGTCCCAAGTCACCTTTCTGTCCTAGGGCTCCTGCCACCCCTGGCCCTCCAGGGCGACCTGTAAAACCTGGCTCACCCTTGGGCCCAGTTGGTCCAGGGGGTCCATGAGCCCCAGGAAGTCCCCTCTCACCAGGGAGCCCAGGCTTTCCTGCCAGACCATTAGGCCCTTGGTCACCCCGAATACCAGGCACTCCTGGGGGGCCTCCAGGTCCCACCTCTCCCTTGGGCCCAGGGGGCCCACGTCTACCAGGAAGCCCTGCAGATCCAGGGAGGCCAGGTGGACCCCCAAGGCCCTGTGGACCCTGCTCTCCTGGCTCCCCATCCTCTCCTGGCTCACCTCTGTCCCCCAAGAGTCCTGGGGCCCCAGCTGGGCCCCTATCTCCCTTAGGTCCTGGTTTTCCCGGCATCCCATAGCCAATAGGGCCTATTAGTCCAGGGGGGCCCCGGAGCCCTGGCTCCCCTTTAGCCCCTGCTGGGCCCTGTGGCCCTGGCACCCCTGCTGCCCCTGGCACCCCTACACCATCTACCCCAGGGGGGCCTTTTGGACCAACAACTCCTGGTTCTCCCCTAGAGCCTGGAACCCCAGGGGGCCCAGAGTCACCTTTGTCTCCTGGGGCTCCTGGTACCCCATCCAAACCTGGTTTGCCCAAGCCAGCTGGACCAGGCAACCCAGGGGGCCCAGGGGCACCTGCCTGCCCAGGGGCCCCAGGAAGCCCTGGTTCGCCCACTCCATTATCCCCCTTGAGGCCCCTATCTCCTCTGGGTCCAGGCTCTCCCTGGGGTCCTGGTTCCCCCCTAAATCCTGGAGGCCCTGGCACCCCCTGGGCACCTGGTTTTCCAGGGACAGTAATGCCTGAAGGACCAGGAAGACCAGGAGGTCCTGGGGGCCCCCGGAGGCCCTGGTCCCCTCGTATCCCTGGCTCTCCCCGCAGCCCTGGCTGTCCTGGTGGTCCAACCTTGCCTGGGAGCCCTGGGGGACCAGCCTTGCCCATCCGGGAGAAGCCAGGGGGGCCAGCAGGGCCCGGCTGCCCATGAAGGCCCGGTTTTCCTGTCCCGGGCTTTCCCGGGAAGCCAGGAGGCCCAGGGGGACCCCGAGGTCCCGGCTTCCCAGGGGGGCCTGGCTCTCCTTTCAAGTCCATCGGCAGCAGCGGCAGAGGCATTTCTGAAAAGGAGAAGGTGACAGTCA